TTTATTTTTATTTTTTTTTTTTTTTTTTTTGTAAGCAGAGTCTCACAGTTCACAGCAACCTCCAACTCCTGGGCTTAGGCGATTCTCTCGCCTCAGCCTCCCAAAAGAAATTTTGGGAAATGTAGGAATATTTAGTAGTGAAAGAGCTATGAAAAATAGATCACTTAGTGTGGCAAAGTAACTTTTCTCATAAACTAAGGAAAAATAAAACATGATCAAATCTGTTTATATTTCAATCATCATTCACCTAAGAACATATAATACTTTCCTCTGATCTTTTCACCTCTCCTTTCTTTCTTGCTGTTTTTCCTACATGTCTCTCCTCTCTCTCTACATATTTCTATCCCCCCCCTTTCCTTTGTATCTTTCTTTATTCTTCTTGCTCTTCCCTCAGCCCCTATGTGCCCTTGTGTTTTTCTCTCTCTGTTTCCTCTTTCTCTCTTCTCTCCCCTTTTCTTTCTTTCTTCTCTGGATACAGATGAAATTAAATAACTTCTTTTTATTCTGTATTAGAGATATTTGAAAACGTTTTTTCTCCTTTAAAAAGTGTCCTCTGAGGAACTCTCTATAACTCTTTTTCCTTGGTCTGTAAATATGCAGTGACAAAACTGATGTAACAAGTCTAAGTTTTTAAAAAGTTGGAAAAACAGTTTATTTCATTTTTCTGGAAGATGTGAGGGTTCTTGGTTAAGTCTTTCCTCAATAATAGAAAGGAAAATGTGTCCTCACTCCTTATTATATATATTATCAAATGATTAGTTTAAACTAATTTATGAGAATTAAATTGCTCAATTTAATTGACAGAATCACTAACTTCTATAGTGTTTTAGTGTGAGTTAGAGAACTATGGCCCCTCTTCAAAATGTTATTTTCAGTTGGAAAATTATTTCTAATAGACTGCATTTATGAAAAAATCTCATAACTTACTGTAATTTGCCAATTTAAATTTTGATTAAAAATATTTACATTTATGGGTTTTACAATGTGACTGGCACCCCAGGGCTGTGCAGTGTCCTGCCTACGTGGCTGTACGCAGAGACACAGATGAGGTGGGCTGTGCGTGAGATCTGAGTTACACTGATAGGAGTTTTGGGGGAATATCCTGAAATTTCAGAAAAATTAAACCTGTAGATTTCACAGTAGAAAAATATTTTTAAACATGCAGTGAATTTTGGCTAATGGAGTATTTTTGGATTGCTCTTTAATTTTATTAGTGGGCACATAGGCACCTTGCTTAATTTTTTTTTGCTTAGCTGTAATTATTGAATTACTTGGGTATAAATAGAAGGAAGGTTTTTTGATTAGTCAAGAATGAGCATGCTGGCTGGCATTTATTATAAACCACATTTAACATGATGTTCTTCAAGCAAGGTCTAGTTGGCACCTTGAAATTGTTAACAAGGTAAGAATAAAAGTGAATACACTCATATATAAGAGTACAGCAAAGAGTTGGTATTAGCAAGCATTAACGGTCTCAAATTACTTCTAAGAGAGCATAATTTCTCAGTGAGTTATAACTGAGTGTGAAATTTGGCCACTGACTACTATAAAGAAAATTTCTTAGCTGGATACCTCTGGATCAAAAAGGCACAAGGCAGTGGGAAATAACCTTTGTTTTTGTCCTCCAAAAGTGCTCAAATAATGTCTTTAAAATAAAAAAAATTTAAAGCAAAGCATTAAAATAAAATCACAAATAAGACAAACGTAGATGAATTTAAACTGAGCAAACTTAGTGACAAATGCATCAGGTATCTGCGTTTTGTGCAGAGATCGTCCATAGTGGTAGTTTCAGTGGCTAAACAGTGCTGTTACTGAAACGACCTTGATAAAAATGGCATGCCATTAACAGCGGAGTTGTTTCTTATGCTCTTATCAATTGATTCAACTTCTAAAATTTCTTTTAAATTTGTGAGCCAAATGACAATAATTCCATCAGTAGGTAAGAGTCTCCTAGAAAAGGCCTTCAAGATACAAACTACCTTTGTGACCATCTAGTGAGGTTCTAATAACTCAGTCTTATCATCAGGGTCTGGAATGTGGGCTTTTGGGGTTGGCCGGGTGGGGCGTGTTTTGTACATGGTTGGGCTTGGGTCCTCTGGGCCAGGGGCTCATGTAGGTGTGACAGGCAGATGATCCTCTGTCCTGCTGCTTTTAGCTCTTCCTGACCTTGTCACTTGTCACTTTGCAGCACATACACAAACTGTTTCTCCCCCACACTGTCATTGCTCCTGAAAATTCTACCAAACATCAGTCAGTCATCTCTTTTGATCTCTGATGGATCCTTTTGTGCTGACAAGGGTGTGAGCAGGACCACAAGCTTGACTTGTGTTCAAAAGATCTGGTCACTGTGTGACTGCAGGTTGGAACACACAGAATCAATTTCTTTCTTTCTTTTTTTTTTTTTTTTTTTGAGAC